CCCCAAAACCCCAAAACCCCAAAACCCCAAAACCCCTTAAGAGCCTTGAATAATTGAAATAAAATATGGAGATTGCGAAGACCAATTCATTGGGTGGCATTTTGAAGACAAACTTTTCAGTGCCAGTCCATTTCAAAGAGAAGAAAAACAAACCTGAAGCACATTTCGATGTTGGGCTTGAGAAAAGCAGTATGTTTTAGCAAATAGAATCGAACAGGAGGGGATTTGACCTCCTTTGTACGCAATCTTATTCGACCATAATTGAATTGTAAAACCTTTTAGAAACAATCAAGAGAAGTATTATATTCAAACCAATGATTCAACTTGGAACAGGTAAGTTCAGCATCTTCCAAATGTTCAGAGCTAAATGATCTTTGGCTGAGATTCCTAATTTGTGTCCTTCTACCAAGCCTAATATAATTTTAATAGAGAAGAAATCGAAATAAAGTAAATATAGTCTAATAGTTTCAGAGGTCACATCCTTCTGACATTCAGACTGAGGAGTAAGTCATTCTATTAAGTATTTACAGGAAACCAGGCCCTTCGCTTTCTTCATATAAATCGAAACTAGCAGCTGTTAAGGGCAAAAGAAGAAGAAATGCTCAAAGTAAATCCTTAATTAAATTGCTAATAGGCGTGACAAACTTAGGTGCTAAAAAGATGTCGCTAAGCCCCAAGAAAGAACATGAAAAGAGCTATCTTCCTGCAGTCAGATCGTCATTGCCTTCTCTGAGTAGTGTGTTTCAGTCAAAATCTGAAAAAGGACCAGCCAAGTTGGCTCTTAAATAAATTTGGAAATTATCCTATCAGGGAAGATGCGATTCACTTCTTGACATATGTTGAGGAAGGAGATTCGCAGGAAAAGTAGCTTGTTTAAAACTAACCTTTAGCATGATACGTCGGAAAAAGCGCCACTCTAGCTCTATCAGCACTCCTGTGCTAGATAAGGTTATGAAAGCGCCTCAGAGTCCTCAACAGGAGTCTTCGAAATATGAATTGACCAATAATTGGTACAAGGATGTGTAATATCTAGGCATCTCAGATTTATGCTACCTAATGCAGGATTCAAAAATCGGTTTCATACTGAATGCATCTCCCAGGTATACCTGAAGTTAAGAAATTTAGGCGGAAACCACGAATTTTCAGCTAGAGCAGAACAGAATTATTCGTGAAGCCAAACTTGAAAATACAAGAGCGAAAAGAGAGAAGCGTAAGTTACTCTTTTAACAATCCTCTTTACATGGCACGATTTGGTTTGAGCTCAGTTGGTTTTCTGAATAATTTTTAAAAAATTCTAAGAATCTAGATAACCTCAATTTTTGCGTGAAAAATTATATTTAGGAATGCTCAAGTGCAAAGTCTCGAAAATTATGAGGGACAAAATCCCTGAACTTCATGAAGATCAGAGGCTCAGAGGGGCAGACCAGCACAAAGAAAGTGGTTTATTCAATCGTGGTCAAGCCAAGTCCAACCATAATTCCCCTAAAAGTCCTATTCCGAAAATAGCTGATGATATAAGTAAGATTTGCTCAAGATTTGGGCTGGAATTCCTCTACTATCTCATCCAAACAAGGGTAAATTAATAACAATTTAGAGAAACAAGAGCTAAAATAAACATCTTAACAAGCAAGAGTACAAGTTGGTGACCGAGACCCATCCAAAATGTAAGTTCCTTCTAGACCAAAGGGTTCTCATTTTCAGTTATTCATGCATTCTAGACTATCTAATGACTGGAGAAATGATTGAGAAGGATCACCAAGAAGAAAAAATTCATAAATAAATTAGCCAGGCAAGCACGAAGAGAACAAAAACAGTTTTATAGAACTGAGATACTGAAGTTTTACGAGGATCAGAACTTACAGCTTTATCAAAGCTCTATTCCTCAAGGTACTTTCATTGAAATGATCGTTTAGTCCCAATCCCGAAGCAAGCTTCTTTGAAGGTTCTTGAGACTTTGAGCTCAGAAGAATTTAAGCAGGAAAAGTATCAGCTACTTTCAGATATTCTCCGCAAATCTGAAGATGAACAGGACAGACTTCTTGGGAATAGAATTCTTAGAAAATATGATCAGAAAGATCTTGCCGTGAAGGGATCCGGAAGTCTGAAGTTAGGCACATCGAATTATTTATGAAGTAGTACAACACTTGGAACTGATTCGACATAATTGCATTATTATACATCTCCAATACTATTTATTTGATGAGGGGTTTTGGGGTTTTGGGGTTTTGGGGTTTTGGGGTTTTGGGG